ACTAGGAGAAATTTGAGAAGGCTGAAACTAAAACGTTAAGTGTGAGTTAACGAAAATCGTTCGTAACTGTAAGATTAAGGCACAATAGGTTTGGATTTTGGGTTGGACGTAGGATAAGTGAAGTTTGAGCATTTAACTTGACACTCCCAACTTGAACCTGTCATCCCCTTTGTGTATGAAAAGACAATACTGCCATTCCAAAATCATTTTCACTCATTTTCCAAATTTACAGGATCTACATACGAATTTCAGAAGTCTAGGGCGATATCGGAAATTTGGATTTACACTACTAGAAATTTAAAAAACAATACGTTTATTATCGTAAATTTTATTATTTCCAGTATTTGTACTGAAAATTTTAAAATTTCTGGTGTTAATTCTAACATTTTTACTGAAAATTTCACAACTTCCAATTTAAAACGCCATGGAAATTCCTGAAAATTTCAGAATTTCCAACCGTTATAAAAAATTAGTTTTTTTTTTATCGAAAATTCTGAAATTTCCGGTAGGTATAAAGATTTTTTTACCGGAAATTTCAGAATTTCTGTAAGTATTAAAAGCTTAATTTTTTTATCGGAAATTCTAAAATTTCCGGCAATTGCTGTTTTTTTTTTTAATTTTTCCTTCTTTTGCAGTGAAATTCAGAGGCAGGGACAACATTATTGCAGGCAGAGCTACTAATAGACTGACATACCAGACTAGGGCTGCTGAGACTGGGTTTTCTCAAATACGGGTTGAACGGATGGTTCCAACCAATTCACACCGGAAACAATTAGCTGAACAGGGTCATTTCCGTACACCTCGTAGCTCAGAGATGAGGTGGAAGATGAGATGGTGGAACCAGATGCTATTGTTGTTGGTCCAGCCCTAGATAAGGAGGTCGCTGAGGAGGTTATTGAGGAGGTTGATGAGGAGGTGGTTGTTGATGTGGTTGTTACTCGGGTGATCCAGTCAGATGTTGTTGTTGCTGATCCAGTCCTATCTTTTACTACTGACGCAAAGGTTATAGCTCCTTCGACCGAGCCCTTTGGGCATACTGATAGAGGATTCCCTAGAGGACCCATTGGTTGGTCAGTGCTTACTGAGTATGCTAACCATGTGGCACTATGACTATGGTAGGGAGAGGTATATGTCTTTTATGTTTAACTTTAATTTGTTTATTATTGTGCCATGAAAGCTAAATGCTAATTTTTTTTATATTTGTTTATCACAGGACCGTTCCACATTGAAGGTGACATCGTACAGTCGAAGTTGAAGGACTTCTCAAAGATTTTGATACCTGAGCACGTTAGCCAGATTGTACGAGAGTTTGAGCTCCTTGTTTTTTTCCCACTGCTCACTCACCATGCTCGATGCTCAACTACTTATAGTATTTCTTGAGATATGGCATAAGGAGACATCTTCATTTCATATTTCATTTAGGGAGATAACTATCACTTTAGATGATGTCTCCTCATTGTTCCATCTCCCCATTGACAGAAAGTTATGGACGACTCATGTTCTTACCATTTCGCTTGCATGTATGACTGTTGCACGAGATTTGAGAGTATTTGATGCGGATGTGCAGAAGGAGTTTGACATCAATAGGGGCGCTCACCTTTTTGTGTCTTAGTTTGGGAAGACGTACGACGATCTTGTAGCGGCTGAGAGTTATAAGGTTGTCGCTAGGGTGTACATGCTACATTTAGTAACATGTACTCTCTTTGCAAACAAGTTAGCTGTTTATATTGACGTTCGGTACGTGTGCCTGTTTAGTAGACTCAAGGTTACCAGTTGGGCTTGGGAGTGTGATGCGTTGACCATTTTGTATATAATACTTGGAGTGGCGACATGATTTGAGATTAAACAACTTGTTGGTTATTTGAGTCTATTACATGTATGCTTGAAATCATTATTTGTTCTTGATTTCTTATTTAATTGTTACAAATAACATTTCTTATTTATTATTTGTTGTGTATGTGTTTTGATATCTGTGTTGGATAGAAGTATTTCTCCACCATCTGCGACAGAAGGGTGCAACATTCCCCAATGAGGGCCCAACGGACGAGGAGATGAAAGAGCATGTGGTCACATTCCGATGGTGTTGTTTCGTATAGGAGGAGGCTCGATATGTTGACTACATATGATGTCATCTGTACACTATACATTGATCATAGAGTCCAACGTGAGTTCGAGGCGTCTTCATTATATTCAGGTTATATTAGGTGGGAGACCACGGTTGCTAGACACTTGTCTGAGAGGTGTCTACGACAATATGAATATGTTCAGAATATCCCACGAGCAATTTCGAATATACCATCTACGGGCATTGATTGGTGGTTTCAGAGTAACTTCATAAAATTTGGTCGTGCCATTAGAAATCAATCAATTAGGGTTCAACACCCCTTGCAGTGTGATGATGGTTACTTAGAGTAGTACCTCACTGTATCACACACTCGCATTACCCCACCTACAATTGATGTTGGGCCTTCTTATGTTAAGGTACCTGTTGATGACGTATTGTCGCCGCATCCTCCTACAACTGACGCCGATGACCAACAACACCCCCAGATAATTGCAATTATTATGGATAACCTCGTGAGTTTGGTAAACCCAGATGACAAGGTTTATACTGAATTATCTCGTGTTGCACACATAGCCCATGGGGGCCTATTTATACATCTTTTGTATATTACGTATTATTTTTATATTACTCAAACATCTTCACCATAACTTTTTATTAGATAATATTTTTTGATCTCCAATTGATGCAACATCAACATTAACTAACATTTGACAATGGATTACATAACTTAATCATAACTTAAAAAACGATAATAAATTTTAAAAAAAAACTAGACACTACCAGATGTTTCTGGACGTTTCATCATCTTAATTATGTCATCGACGGACCTTGACATCTTAGCATCTAACTCGATCCCTTTGTTAACCTACGGTGAAATGATCTCCCCATATCCTTCACATCTTCATCGATCTTCAACTCAATAAGGTTGTATTTCACCCTCCCGTTAGTATCAATCTAATCTTCACAAAACTCGATCGTTCTAATCTTTCTGTTTTCGATATCAGATAACAATTCATTCAACTTGGACTCAGGGCGAAGAGAGATGTGGTGCCATTTGAAAGCTGAAAATCTACGAGAGGTGAAGCTCCTTTGAAGTACACTTTTACCTTAATAAAAATTAAGGAAGCGATATTTTTTGAGATGTTTTTATCAAACAACAGGTGACCCCCATATTTATACAACTTTTCATTTACTCTAGACAACACAAAATTATCGGTGCAATCACAACCCTCAAAACTGTCGGCAAAATCTCGAGCGTTTAAAATTCCAAACAAATAACAGTACTGGAAATTTCACTTTGGTTGAAATTTCTGGTATCAAATGGTAAATTTTAAAATTTGAAATTAATTGGAACATGTCAGAAAATTTTGAAATTTCTGATATACCAACAATTTACAATACACTAGAAAAATTTGTTTGTACTTGAAATTTCGATTTGGCCTATTAAAAATTTGGAACGAAAATTTCATTCATTTTTTAATCAGGGATAATTTTGACAATTAAAAATATGGGGATACCAGGTATAATTAAAAGATGATAAGTTAAAATCTTGTAACATTTAAATTATAATATAATGCAATTTAATTTAGTTTAATTCAGTTTGCAAAGTATAGACGGCAAACCAAACTAAATAATACAGGTTAAAAAATGACAGAAATACATAAGAATATGTTTTTACATTTTCAATTTAATTTGGTTTAATTTATAATTTTTTATTAAATTGATTCTGTTTTAAGCACCCTACTATCAATCATTGTGTCAACTAATAACCCTTGCCCAATGTTTTTTAAACTATTACGACTAGATATGAAACTCGTTCCATTTCATGATATATATATATATATATATATATATATATATATATATATATATATATATATATATATATATATATATATATATATATATATATATATATATATATATATATATATATATATATATATATATATATATATATATATATATATATATATATATATATATATATATATATATATATATATATATATATATATATATATATATATATATATATATATATATATATATATAACTCATTACTTTACTAGTATTATATCAAAATATGTTAGTGTTTCTTGGTTGATAATGAAAGAGAAAGACTGTGTTCAATAACTTAAATTTTGTTTTTATGAGCCATCGGTCTTAATTTATTTTTGCCTGTGAAGCACAACTCTTGATGGAATTTATTCTTTGTAAAAGGCCGTGATTTTTTCAAGAATTTCTTTTATATTTTATTTTTTAGTTGGATGCCAAAATTATAGATGCTATAATGTACACCTTCTTCTTTTAGGATTATTTTTATTGCCTTGTTCAATTTTGGAAACTTTCGTATTTCGTAAATTTTTTATCATACTGCTCGAATACGGTCTTATTCCGGTTAGGAGACATTTGAAACATCAATGTAAAAGAACTATTTCATTTTTAAAATAGAAAATATTAACTTGTACTTATGAGTTTTTAAAAATTTAGAAAGACCCGTGACCAGTGACCCGAACTAATTTTCCTCAAATTTTAATAGTAGAATATAAATAGATTGATATAATTTCGTGATGTGTTTTTTCTAGGAAGTTTCGGACAAAGAGAGCAAAGCTGACATTTCTTATGATAAATACTAGGCACTTTCTTAACAAAATATTATTATTTTTTAAATGTACCCCAAACATTTTAATTTTCATAAAAAACAAAATATTTATAGAGTAGAGAGTACACTTGTCAATAGAACCTAAAAAGATAAAAACAACTCTGGTTGACTGTAGGCATAGCTGGTTTAGTTTCCTTCCATTACTCACATTCCTCGTAATTCATTCTCTTCTTCTTCCATAAATTCATCCCACTTTGTTCAACAAAACCAACTCAATCCATTCTCGTCATTACCGTGACACACACATCTTGTTACCTTCTTCTGAAAACAATGCATCTAGAGGTATACTTATTCTTGGTCTTCTCTCTTCTCTTTCATATTAATTTCCTTCTTCATCTTAGTTAACTGAATTTATGACCATTTATATATTTCCATTTTGATCACTTTCTTTTGCAATTGCTTGCAGCTTGATGCTTTCACTGCTTTGGTTATCATTCTGTGTTTTCTTGGACTGATTCTCAAGGAGACGGTAATGGGAGGTAATACTTCAAAAGGCTCTCACAAGAGACATGTGACTTCGCCATCTTCGTCGTCGTCGTATGGGTCTGTTGGTTCTTCGTCTTCTTCGGATATTCATAACTATGGATATCCATATGCACAATCGGCATATCCATATCCACAACCGCAACATAAACCGTATCAAAGACCTAATCACCACCGTAATATACAGACTCCGTTGCATGATTATTCACGGCCTAATAGGAAGTTAGATAGGAGATATTCGAGGATTGCAGATGATTATCATTCTCTTGATGAGGTAATTGAGTGTATGTTTGGTTGGAACACTTAGAATTGATTCTGGATGTGTAGAATTGGTTTTGACTTGTTTGCATGCTCTCGAGTAAAATTGACTTAGAATTGATTCTGCTTTCTAAAATTGATTCTGATTAAAGTTTGCATATGTAGTTTTTGAGTTTAAATGTGATTTTTATAATGTAGTTTATTGTTCAACTCACTTTTGCCAGAATTTATTCAAACAAAAATCACTTTACCTTTTTATCCGAATCAGTTTTACAAAAACAATTCATTCCGAATCAAACTTTTTTCACTGGAGAACCAAATACTTGTTTTGTGCTATAATTTGCTAGTGTATAGTTAGTGTTTTGTGTTAAATTGTTTTGGTAATGTATGAAAATTTGTGTTATACTAATAACCTTATACATATTTTTGATCAATCAGTAGTCTTTTTGTGTGTGTCAAATAATGAAACAATTACGCAGGTTACTGCTGCTCTTTCACATGCTGGATTGGAATCGTCAAATCTAATTGTTGGCATTGATTTCACAAAGAGCAATGAGTGGACAGGTTTTTATCTCTTACGAACATCTTGATGATTGAATTTCTTATAGTGAGTTGTGTTGGATATAATATATGTAATTATTCCCTTTGAAAATCAGGGAAGAGGTCATTCAATCGAAAAAGTTTACATCACATAGGAAATGGTCAAAATCCTTATGAACAAGCAATTGCGATTATTGGGAAGACATTAACCTCTTTTGACGAGGATAACATGATTCCGTGTTTTGGATTTGGAGATGGTAACTAAAAATCTTTGTGGTTTTCCACTTGTTCTTGTTTCTAAAATAGCAGAACTTGATTGTGTGTTTTTTCTTCTCGTGCCAGCATCAACACACGATCAAGACGTCTTCAGTTTCCATTCGGATGAGAGGTTCTGCAATGGATTTGAGGAAGTTTTGTCAAAATATAGAGAGATTGTTCCATGCCTCCGACTCGCAGGTGTTGCCTTTATCAATAATATCAATACCATTTTTTTTTTAAATCAGGCTCAAGATTACTCATTGAATTTATGTTACAGGACCAACCTCATTTGCCCCTATTATTGAGATGGCCATGACTATTGTTGAGAAAAGTGGTGGCCAATATCATGTCTTGCTTATAATTGCTGATGGACAGGTATCTTTATCGCACATCTCATTCCATTCAAATGTAAATATTCCTTTTTCCTTCCCTATGCTAGAATTGAAAAAATTGATACCTGAAAATCGCCATAGGTGACTAGAAGCGTTGACACAGAAAACGGCAAGCTAAGTTCTCAGGAAAAGAAGACAATTGATGCAATAGTAAAAGCTAGGTATGTTTTGTAGTATTTCCCCTACTTCCTAGAAGAAAAAGATCCTGATAATTCAAAAGGTTGGTCCTTAAGTGATGTTCGTTAGTCACTTGAGCTCAACCACTTGGTTATATATTCTGAAGTTTATATACGATATCATCTATCTTGGGTTCTTATACTCATTAAATTGCAGCGAGCATCCACTATCGATAGTTTTGGTTGGAGTTGGAGATGGACCGTGGGATATGATGAGGGAGTTTGATGATAACATTCCAGCTCGAGCCTTTGACAACTTTCAGGTTTCACATGTTCAATGTCCATTTATCTATTGGATTTCCACATTCAAATCTTATTATTATGCAGAAATGTGAATATTTTTTATTTTGATTGTGTGCAGTTTGTGAATTTTACTGAAATAATGTCAAAGAATGTGGATTCAAACCGAAAAGAGACAGAGTTTGCTCTAGCAGCTTTGATGGAGATACCATCTCAATATAAGGCGACCATAGATCACAACCTATTGGGGTAAATTGTTGATTAGTTATATTATATTGTATTATACATGTTTTACTCCTATAATAACTAAATTTACATCATGTTATCGTCGATGTATGTAGGACGCAAAGGGGACATTCACCAGACAGGGTTCCATTACCTCCACCTCAATATGATAGGGCTTCTTCTAGTAACGGTGCAGCATCTTTCCGTTCAAACAGTTTTCAGCAGCGTCCAAACAGTTTTCAGCATAGTACACATGCATATGCAAGCAACAACAATGAAACGAACACAGAACCGTCTTCATCTGGTTTATATGACAATAAGGTATTAAAATTTAGGACCATTCCTTCCAACTAAAACACCACTATCATTTCTTGGTCACTTTCAATAATGATTCACATATGGTTAAATGCAGGTTTGCCCGATTTGTCTTACTAATGCGAAGGATATGGCCTTTGGCTGCGGGCATCAGGTAACTAATTAATTCATGTGCTGTTGATTCCCAGGCTGTCTTAAAAGAATATAGTATTAACCTTTCTTTGCACTTTTGTTTCGTCGCATGGAACAGACTTGTTGTGAATGTGGAGAAAGCCTTGAACTCTGCCCTATTTGTCGGAGTACAATCGATACCAGAATAAAGCTTTACTGAGCTTCCAACCTCAGGACCTGATAAGGTTTCTTCCCTTGTTCTTGGACGTTGGACCTGGATCCTCTGCAACCGGATGCACCGTAAGGCCGAAATGGATGATCTATTTTGTTCTTGTACACAATTTTGAACCAAAAATTATATATGTAAGGTTAGGAAGATTTGTTTACCAAATGAACAGGTGTTGTCTCATTGTATATATGAAGTTTGTGTTGTGTGACATGAAGGTTTGATGTTTTGAATTAATTCATTCAAAATTGATTTCTATATGAAGTTCATTTCAACCATTTTTTATTTTTAAATACAGAAATAAAATAAAGAACTAATTGAATGGAAACACCAAAAATGTGAACAAGTTCTAGTAGAAGCAATACCTAAAAACTATGGAGTGTAGGACACAAATTGAATTGGCATGTTTAAGTCAAAGTGCTAATTTCTTAAATGAAAAAAAAAAAAATCAAGTGTTGTAAAAAAACTGAAGGGCTCATTTAACTTTAAACTACAAAATTGGATGGAGTCACGGTTCGTTCTATAATTCTATTTTGTGTACAACATTTCCCGTGAGTGCATCTCAAATAGTTTATTTATAGACTAAATGATACTCTCTCAATTCTTTTTTGATTGTCATTCTTTTATTTTCTACGTCTATCGAAAAATTTAATAATTGTTATTATTTTTTATACAATAATTTTTCCTTTGCATATAGTAATTCTAATTTTAATTATTTTAATATTTTTTTTCTCTCTATAATAAATAGTTAGGGATAATTTTGACAAATTTATAATTATTATTATCTTAAATTTTGAAAACGACAATTAAAAAGAAACATAAATTTTTTATAAAAGAGACACTTAAAAAGGAACGAATGAAGTATTACTCTTTCTGTCTCAAATTATAAGTTAATTTGCAAAAAAAAAATTGTCACAAATTATAAGTCATCTTACATTCGCAATGCAATATTAATGACATTTTCCCTCACATACCTTCAAGTATTTATTATTATTTATTCATTCAACTCTTTTAACTTCTCTCTTCTGTGTAATTACGAGGGACATTACTATAAAGTCATACATAATTTGTCTTTTTCATAAAGTAATAATTAAGTTTCTTAATTCGTGTGAAATGGTCAAAACGTCTTATAATTTGGGACGGAGGTAGTATTGTGATCTTTGACAAAACACTCTTTCACCAAGTGTTGTAATTCTTTACTAAATATTGTGATCTTTGATAAAAACACATCATTTCCCAAGTGGTTATGTATTTAATTAATCTTTTCATTAATTAATAATTAATTACAACAATCCTCTACTTGTTATAATAATGATAAGGCCAATTTCAGAAACGTAAACAAAGAACGCTAATATAATTAAGTATCTTTTGATTTGAATTTAATCTTAGTAAAGACAACACAAAAATCTAATCGGAATTTCAAGTAGCAAAGCTCCAAACCTTTTATTCCTTGTGATTAGATTGGTGTTCACTTACACACACACAAACACACTCTTTAATGATTTTTCACCTACATCTCCCGCCTAACACTAACTATGGTCACGTGTTTTTCCTGTCTCGTGAATTTATCGTGAGAGAAACTCTAACTCTTACTTTGAAAAGACACCATCTTGGAATTCATATTGTATCTACTTTACCTGAGATACATATTCTCAATAGCGTATTTTATTAAAAGTTTGAAAAACTCAATCCTTCAAATGCAATAGTCAGCATTATTACATAATGTTGCACAAACATACAAATCAACGATTTGTTGTTACCTATTGAATCTAACTAAAAATGTTATGTCGGGTCTTGTACATTGGATCAAATACACTAGAGAACCAATTCCACTTGCATTTTTCAATTGAGTCACATTTCTTCCATCATTCTTTTGAAGCTTGACACTAGGATAAAATGGAGTATTCACTTTCTTGAAAAGTGATTGTACTTATCAAGCACTTTCTCCACATAATGCATTTGACTAACTTTATAACCCCCACTATTCCGCTTTACTTTGATTCCTAAAAAGGGTGCAACTAATCCAAGATCTTTCATCTTGAATGTGGAAGTTAGAAACTTTTTTGTTTCTAGAATTCCATTCATTTTCTGGTTAAAATTACCATTTCATTAACATAGAGACAAAGGAATACCATAATATTCTCAAGCACCTTTATGTACAAACACTTATCACGAGTATTAGGAAAAAATCCATTTGAAAGTATGATAGGGTCAAACTTTTGATGTCATTGTTTCAGTTCTTATTTTAATCCCTACACGTATTTGACAAGTTTGCACACCTTTTGTTCATTAGAAAAAAGTACATAACCTTCTGATTGATCCATGTAAATTCCTCATCGAGATATTCATTTAAGAATTTTGTTTTGATATCCATTTGATGACCTATAAGGTCATGTAAAGAAATTAATGCAAAGAATACTATAATTATCGTCTTCCATGCTACTAGTGCATATGTCTCAAAATAATCAACACATTTTTTTTGTCTAAAACCCTTGGCTATTAATCTAGCCTTGTAAGTGCTTAGTGTACCATCAATATGATACATCCTTCTAAATATCCACTTGCATCCAATGGGTCTCGATCCTTTACGTAACTCGACAAGCTCCCAAGTGTAGTTTGACATTATTTAATCCATTTCGTCTTGGATAACATCCTTCCAAAAGGAGGAGTCCCTTGAAGCTACTACTTTTTTTATAAGTCTTAGGGTAATCTTGCACTTGAAGAATAATAGGAATCTTATTATCAAAATTATCATTATTTCCTTCTACTAGATAAAAAGAAATAAATTGAGAATCGATTTTGTTCGGTCCTAGATCTTTAACATTTCAGACTCTCTTGTTTATCCTAAGATTTGGCTGTGTTTCAACAATCCGTGTAGAACCTTCCTCACGAGATTCTTCATTTGTGAGAATCTCAAATTCCTTATCCTTCGTTATAAGGTTTTAAAAGAATTTCACATCTTGGGATTTAATAATTACATTAAACTCAAAATTCAAAAGTATATATGATATACTGTTAGGTGCATAGCCTACAAAATCATATTTGATCCCTCGAGGATCTAACTTAGTTCTTTTAGGATCCATGTTATTATAATAAGCTACACACTCTCACACTCTAAATGAATTATATTCATTATATGGCAAACAAATAGAAAAGCTTCACCCCATAAATTAAATTACAATTCATAATGTATTAACATGACATATCTTGATATGTTCTATTATTTCTTTCGGCTAGTCAGTTTTGTTGTGGTGTAGGTGGTGTGAAACATTTGTGTATAATATCATATTCTTCATAATATGCATCAAATTCTGTAGAAAAATATTCATCGTCCCTATCACTCCTATGAAATTTAGTATTTCTACTTAATTAATGATCTACTTCCGCTTTAAAAAAAAATTAAATGCATTAAAAATATCATCTTTATGCTTTAAAATATATACATGTGCGAATCTAGAGCAATCATCAATAAAAATAATGAAATATCTATTCTCCCATGGGTTAACATGTCATTAAATTCACATAAATCCTAATGCACAAGATCAAATAAGTTGATATTTCTCTCTACACTATGGAAAGGTTTCTTAATTATTTTTTCAATTTAACACATATTTCACGTTTTTTTTTTGAAATTATCAACATCACATGAAATTAAATCATATTTAATTTATCTTTTCAGAGTGTTATTGCCAATATGAGCTAATATACTATGTCATAAAGAAACATATTCAATCATATTAGAAGAAATAGAAACTTTATTCATAATATTGTCAATAGTATAAAGCTTAATCATTCCCTTAGCGGAATAACCCTTTCTCACAAATACACTTTTACGGCTCATGATTAACTTTCCTGAATCATACACAAATTTAATACTTGATTTTTTCAAAAGATTCTCACTAACAATGTTTCTATTCATTTTCGGAAACATGAAGTACATTAATAAGAGTAATATTCTTTCCATAAGTGAAGTTGAGTTCCACAGTTCTCATCCCAACGATCTTTCATTTTCCATTTGAACCTCGGGTACATATGTGACTTTAGAATATGTTAGTTACAAATTGTAATAAGAAAATTGAATTTAATTGAAACAATTCTCTCTCTCTCTCTCTCTCTCTCTCTCTCTCTCTCTCTCTCTCTCTCTCTCTCTCTCTCTCTCTCTCTCTCTCTCTCTCTCTCTCTCTCTCTCTCTCTCTCTCTCTCTCTCTCTCTCTCTCTCTCTCTCTCTCTCTCTACGAATTCTTTCATCTTCTTCTTTTTGTGCATCAATGGAGTTTATGTGTTAACTCCAACAAAGCCAACCATATTATATGATGCTATCTTATTTTCTAGAAGAAGATTTAAGTTATATTTTTTCTTAGTGAATTTATCAAATGTATTTTGTAAATCCTCATTTTCACTTTTCAAAACATCACATTTATTGCATTTGATAGATTCATCTAATACTTCGTGAAAATGGAAAGTGATTTGAGTTAAAACACTTTGCATTTCTATAAGATTTTCTATTTTTTAAAGAGGTTTTAATTTTCAAATTCTAGAGAAGAAATGATGTTTTTAGAAGTGGATACAATATGTTTTAACTTGCTTATCTCTTTATTTAATTTCTTGCAAATACATAATAAATAATGATAGGAGAAATGTGAAGTTGCCTAGTTTTTTTCATGATCTTCTATGAGATAAATGTTGGCTTCTTCTTCATCCAAGAATTCCATATCATTGTCATCCCAAGATATGCAGGTTTTATTTACTTCTCTTTAAGGTTTATTGAACTTTCTTTTATTTTGATTTTATATCCTTCTATATTCTAGTTTTAAGGGTAGTTTGGTCTAATGTTCCATTTCTTTCCGCATTTATGGCATGTAGGAATGAATGAGAATATTTCTTCACTTTGCTTTTGGAACTTGAAGTTTGTTTTTTGACCCTTAGAAATTCCTTTAATTTTCAAAACATGAGTTCCATGTTTTATTACTTTCGCTTTGTCAGTCTTCATCTTTTGGCTCCATACCTTTAATGTGTGTAACTTTTAGAGAAAGAATTTTCTTCTTCTTCTTCTTGCCACCTTATTCATCATCTGAAAATATTTTCAAATTCATTTCATGTTCCTACAATTTAGCAAATAGGGTAGCCAAGTCAATAGATGACATATCTTTAGATTTTGAATTGCAATGGCTTTGGTTGCCAACAACGACTTAGGCATATAAGAACTTTTACAACCAAATCCCCATTTTGAAAATTGTTCCAAGAGTTCTCATGTGATTAACAATGTGAATAAAGTGTTTTTGCATGTCATAAGTATTTTCATCAGGTTTCACGTTAAAGTAGGTTTCACGTTGAAGAGCTCATACTTATTAGTTAATGTGTTCATCCTTGCTCTTTTTTCATTTATTGTACTTTCATAGATAACTTAAAGGATGTCCCACACTTTCTTAGCAGTATCGTAGTGAGAGACATGTAAGAACTCATCAATACCAAGAGCAGTAGTAATGATAGTCTTTGTCTATAAATTTCATTGAACTCTTTCTCTTTCTTCTTTGGTCCAATCATTTCGTCTTTATTTACCACAACACCATTAACTTGATGTGTGGAAACAAATACACTATTGCTCATAACCTTCCATATACTAAAATCCATCCCCTCTATATATATTTTCATCTTCTCTTTTCATAAGGCAATGCCCTTCTCCATTAAAAAAAGGAGTTTGCTAGGGAATCGTTTGAAGTCATTTTCTTCCTCTTGGAATAGTCAATCTTGAACAGGAGTTAGACTCTGAGGTCACTTATTGAACAAGTTAATCCAAACATAAGAAGGGGTGCGAATTGTGATATTAAAAAATCTTTACTAATTTAAAAATCTTTTATTAAAAAAAAATAATTTATGTTAGTGAAGAGATAAAAGCAACAAAAAAATACAAAGGAAGTAAAATTAGGAGAAGGAAAATTAAATGGGGGAAAATAAAGAGATAATGGCTAAGAGAAGTGCATGAGGATTTATAGAGGTTTGACCTACCACTTGACCAACTCCTCTCTCCAATAATGTCTTCTTGAGAGTTCCACTAAACATAACTTACTGAGCTTTTAAGGATATGCCTATGAACCTTATTACAACAGACACGAGATTTTACACGAGTTGATCTCCAAAATAAAATGGAGATTTTGACGGCTGAGCTCACGAAGCAAACATATATTTTACCGACTAATCTCAATAACAAAATAGAGGTTTTACTAGGAAAATCTCAAGAACCTAAAAATATTTTTCCAATAGATTTTCAAGAACCAAAGAAATCAAACAAGAGAATCACACTATTGATGAAGAACACTTCAACACGAACACCAGTACAACTAAACTCTCACGGGTATTTTTCACCCACAAGTGAAATATAAGAAAAGGAGCAGAAAGTGAGAAAGAAGGTATTCAAAACGAATTAGGGTGTAATTTGGAATGAGGAGAACCCTTTATTTAGAGGATAAAATGTAGCTTAAAAAGAAAAATGATTCATGAGATTTTTAACGCCACATAATCAATTGTGACCTAGGGTAAATCAATTATATGGGCCAAATACAAAAGGTTTTTAAATTCCTTGTCATAGGTCAATTAGAAGCTTCTGTAAATAATTAGGAGGCGTTACAAAATAAATAATCGATTAATCCTAATGTGTCAATGGATTATTAAAGAACACTCTTAAAGCTTAAATCAAGCTCATAATTAACTAGGCATGTGCATTAAATGTTTTCGGGTGATTTTACAAAATGAGAGAGAATTCAAAAAACAATTTAATGTGTGAGAGTGGTCTTAGTATTTTAAGAGATATTTTTATACTTTTATAATACACCGATGACTCAAACACATACCAATAGAATTTTAACACTTTTTCTCAAAATTCTTTATCCCCTATCCCCATTGTTTCACCTAAAACTCGTAATTCTTCTAGGATAAAATATCATCAACATAGTTTAAAGGATTTTCATCTTAAAATTGTGCATCACGGTGTCTGTAGAATTATGAAAAACAAAGTAATCCCCATTTATTTTTTAATTTTCTTATGTACGAAAAAGTTTCTCAAAATTATAAATATTATGTTTTTCATTTCATCTTATTCTAAACCTAAATCCTATAAAAGAAAACCATTAATTTTGAATATTGAAAAACTGTTGTGAATAAAAAAATTTGTTTTTATTTTGATCTTGATGATTTTGGATTTTAATTAATTTTTTTGATAAAAATATCTTTTTCAGTCTTTTAATTATATATTTGGATTTAAATTAGTTCCTTCGTGTTATTTTTTTTTTAATTTACTTACGGTAAAATTTAAAAATCGATCATTAAATTCGTTACTAATTAAATAAAATGACTAATATAACATGTTTTAATAGTTCATAGATCAATTTGACATTAAAAAAAATTAAGAGAAAAATCTAAATCCAAAATATAATTTAAGAATAAAAAAAAATTAATTTTGCCCTTTTACTATTGAGAGACACAAGGATAAAGGAAAAAACATGGCATAAAAAGTTAAAAACATCGTATGTAGTAATTACACGTGTATTAAATAGTAATGATTCTTTCACATTACAAAAGTTGTAAACATTTTATTTATACCTTTCTTGCAATAACTATTATGTCATGATCCCTTTTTAAGAAATTAAATTTGTGTGCATATAATTTTTATTTATTATTATTTGAACCGAAACACAAGCAAGGTAGAAATTCACCAGAATTTGGCTTCAATATATTCAACTATATATTGCATTCTGCATAGGAAATATAAGTAACACTAATTGAACCAGTGATCTTAGCCATTATTATCTGATCAAAGAGATGGAAATGGTGCCGCAGAAGATGCAATCCAGAGCTATTCGCCACATTTTTTCGGCTTCAGATGACATGGTTATGACGAAACAAATTCGCGCAACTCATGCTCCTATTGAAGAACATGTTGATGTTAGACCTCTGCTTAATGTTGTTCAAGACATTTTTCTTCACGCGAATTCTCTTATCCCCGACTATGTTCAGGTATGTGTATGTATATATATTAATCTAGTACCATTTCGGATTTTTTGTGTTAACTAACCGATTTTTTCAGGACATGAAGGATACTACTAAGGAATCTGACTTATTTGAAATGCTGGAGATTTCATATCACTCGATTAACAAAATTTCCTGCGAGGTTTTCTTCCCGTCTCCGTGCATTAGGACTATTTTTCTAGAACTAAATATGTCAAAATCGAGTTATTAATCTTTTGATGCATACTTGTGCCAGATATCTTGCAAGTGTTTGTTGAGTGGAGGAGATGCTCATGCAACAACCATAGGAATACTTGGAATGCTGTCAAGCTATTCATGGGATGCCAAAGTGGTGATAGCATTAGCAGCATTTGCAGCCAACTTAGGGGAGTTTTGGCTTGTGGCTCAACTTTACGCGACAAACCGTCTTGCTAAGTCAGTTGCATTGTTGAAGCACATTCATGAAACACTGAATCAAGTTGATGATTTGGGGCCTAAATTTGAATCTGTCAACAAACTTCTCAAGGCTATGTTGGATGTTGCTAATTGTATTGTTGAGTTTCATGAGCTTCCTTCTGAGTATATTGATCATGAAGCACCGGAAACATTGACTGCTTCAACTCTTATTCCTAGTGCTGTTTATTGGACCATTAGGAGTATTGTGGCATGTGCATCACATATTTTAGGCATTATTGGCTTGGGTCAAGGGTACATCTATAGCTTAAGAACTCTTCTTAATTTCTTTCTTGCACCAAAAGCAAATATCTTTTTCTTTTTGTGTTGCTAATTTAGTGATCACGGGTTTGTCTGGATAAACATCTTAATTAAGTGCGTATAACATCAATATATATTATAAAATTTTAACTATCTTGTGTTGATTTTAGATATATGACATCAACAATTGAGACATGGGAGCTTTCGAGTTTGACTAATAAGCTAGAAAACATGAATGGTCACCTTCAAAAGCTGCTCACAATTTGTCGTCAACATTTAGGTAATGAAGTCGATCTAACTACTCGTTTTAGTAACTCTACTAATCATGAAGATGATGAAGAAGCACTGTCTTGCTTTTCTTTATATAAAATTTCTTTAATCTATATGCTTCGGAACACTGTGTTATAATGCAGATGACAACAAACAGAGAGAAGTATTTGAAACACTTCACCACCTTTTTGAGACATCACACCAAGATAACATTAAGGTTCTCAAAGCCTTGATTCACTGCAAGGGTGACCCATTGCCACTGTTTGATGGTTCTACCAAACAAAGGGTTAGCATAGATTATGTTATTTCTTCATTTAACACATAGTATATATGCATTAGAATCAACTAATCTATAATTCATAATCATTTTTCGGTTCAACTCGAGGTATTTTATCTGTCTTCAGGTTAGCATTGATGTATTGAGGAAGAAAATTGTGTTGCTCTACATAACAGACCTGCACCATATATCTGATCAAGAGCTAGTGATTTTTGAACAAATGTATCAAGAGTCGCGTCAAGATTCAACGAGGCTAGAGAGTCAATACGAACTCGTTTGGATTCCGGTTGTGGAAAAGGGAGCGTGGACCGAAACGAAGCAGAAGTTCGAGAGGCTGCAATCAATGATGCCATGGTACTCAGTTTATGACCCTTCACTTTTGGAGGCAGCAACCATTAGGTACATTAAGGAGGTATGGTTTTTCAACACAAAGCCTATGCTTGTGGTATTGGATCCACAAGGAAAGCTTGTGAACCTGAATGCAATACATATGATGTGGATTTGGGGAAGCATGGCTTATCCTTTCTCTAGCTTAAGGGAGGAAGCTCTTTGGAAAGAAGAAACATGGGGACTTGCACTTCTGGCCGATACAATCGATCCGTTGCTCTTTGATTGGGTTAGGCCTAGGTTTTTCATTCTCTATATATGCATATCATCAATGTTTTATGTTATGATCATAAATGTTGAATGCAGGTATCAGCAGGAAAATACATATGTTTGTATGGAGGGGACGATATGGACTGGATCCGTAAGTTCACAAGCGCGGCAAAATCCCTGGCAAGAACTCTACAAATTCCACTCGAAATGATGTATGTAGGAAAAAACAACCCTGGACAAAAACTTAGAAAGATCAACAAGACCATACATGAAGAAAATCTGAGCAGCATCCTCGCCGATTCAACGATAATTTGGTTCTTCTGGGTTAGGCTAGAAAGCATGTGGCACTCCAAGTTACAGCAAGGTAAGACAGTGGAGAGTGACCAAATAATGATGGAAATAATGAGAATCTTGAGCTATGATAGCAGTGATCAAGGTTGGGCTGTGATAAGTCTAGGAACAATAAAAATGACACAAGGCAAAGGAGACTCGTTTTTGAAGTGTCTTAATGAGTTTGATGAGTGGAAGGATAATGTGAATGATAAAGGAGTTTTGCCTGCAATGGATGAGTATATACAAGGGATTCAACAACCACACCATTGTAATAGATTGATACTGCCAGGAGTTGATGGCACAGTTCCAGATAAGATTGTGTGTGCTGAATGTGGTAAACCAATGGAAAAATTCTACATGTATCGTTGCTGCAACGAATGAATCATTACTATAGAATGAATACATAAATAACATTGTATCTTTGAATAATAAGTACACAAAATCATATATAGAGATTTTATGTGCTGTATTGTATTATCTTTAGCATTTAAATTTCAAGGGTGTGAATTGTGAAATGATATTGATATATACTTATAAGTCTATTGTTAATTGAATTCATCTTTCTAGAAGATTCGTTCACAAGCCTATCTTTGTAACATACATGATTAGTCTACATATATGTATACTAAAAGTGATTTTTTAGTAAGTCATATGTCATTCACCATAGTTTTCTGATAGGGTTCATTTTTTAGCCATTGAATGGCGGTCAAGGATGGGCGCTCAAAAGCCTATGGTTGGCAAGGATGAACATACGCGCATCTTCTCCACAACCATTATGATTTTAAGAGGGTCATATGATACGTCTCTATGTCATCCTTTCATTGATTGAGGTTTTGTTCATGATGGCCCAATTATGACATTCATTGAGAAGAACTAGTCTTCCCTTGCTTATTTAAAGTGTGTATAGAGTCCTCTAACTCAACTATTTGATCTTGATTGAAAACAGAACATAGGTCAGAAAATGAGTCAAAAAAAAGTGGCCGTGGTACTTGAATAAAGTACTAATACAGTTACTTTAATACAAAATTGTAAATTAGATTTTACATGAATAAACTACTAAAGATCACAAATCAGATCATAGGCATGTAAATGATGTAATTTAACAATTTATTTACACGGCTAGAATACATATTTAACCATACATTAAATTGAATAATAGTGTACATACATACAAAACTAAAAATGAATCAAAAATGTCATTGAGGTGTAGATTTAGTGGCCGTAGTAACAGAATTCCAAATCTGAGCAATAGGCGAAATAATTCTAGGCAATATAGCCCCAATTCCATTAAGAGCCGCACCAGAAACAACACCAATTGCAAACGTCTCAACATAACCAGGCTTCGAATCCAACTTCATGTCAAGTACCGCAAGTCTATTGTTTAACGAATCCATCTTTCTAGAAGATTCATTCAAAACCCTATCGTTTTTACCTCTACCAGATGAAATCACTCCAAACAAAGCTTTCTGCAAATCCTCAATAACCTTCAAAGAAGCTTCGTGCGAATCCATCCCTTGAGATTCATAATAAGATACCAATTCCTTTGGAGAAGGAATCTTCTTTTTCGGATTAGATTTCAATTTAATTTCGGGTATAGACGGTACTACTTTAGGTGCAGTTGATGGTTCCATTTCAATTACTGTTAAAACAAATAAAGCGTTAGATTTAATCCTAATTCTAATTAACAACAAATTTAAATAAATTAATCAAATTAAATGTACCAGTAGACAGGTAACGTAGTGTAGTTAAAAATTACACTAGGTTGTTTAAGACTGGTTTTTTTGGTTTGATTTATGCTTCGGGAAACTTGAAATCCTCTTATTTGAAGGAAGAGGTTTCACCATTGTGAAGCAACAATTCATAAAAAAAAAAATTAAAATTAAAATTAATTATGAAAATGTAACAACACGACCGTGAAACAAATGCGAGATAAAAATTCGCAGATGTTGTTTTTCTTAATTAACTAATAATTAAGAAAGAGGTAGGTGTTGAAGTTTATATACGCTTTCGTTGACACGTACTTCGGCATGAAAAACTAACGAAGAACGCAACGCCTATCAAAAGCGATGAATAACAGACACATAGAAAAAGAGTATAATTCATGGAGGAAGAAAAAATAAAAAGAGAATTTGAGACTTAAACATACTATGAATCGCGAAGAGACTTTTGTTTCGTCTCGCGGCTAGGTTTAACGCGTAAGTGAATGATGAGAAAGTTGTTTGCACTGGCTCTGGTTTTATAGTGTAACAGAACTAAACCTAAACTGAACTTGTGAGTATATATGGGCTTTGAAAAAGTAAAATATGAAACTGGGTTACTAAATGAATAAAGATTTATAATTGCACCCTAACATATATCTTTTTACCCCTGAAAACCATTTAAATATATACTCTCTTTCTTTTTGTTATTTAAATTTATTATAATTTTATTTTTCATCTCCATTTTTTATATTTTTACAATTGATTTTTTTTATGTGAAGCTTTTTTATAAATCGTGCGTATTTTAAAAATTGGATATCTATTTCTATCTATTCATATTTTGTGAAAGAGTGTCGGAAAATTTTAATGAATTCTTATGACATAATGTTTCTCAAGATATGTGCACGAAGATATATTCAATTATATTTTTGATCATATTATTATTTTTTATATTAGTTTTATTATTTGCTAACTTTGCTTATGCAGTAATTTTAGTATTAGATCATCGTATTTGGTATAATTGTTCAGTTCTTCACTATCTCGTATAGTTGCACTTAATTTATATTAATTGTTTTGATTGGGTCGTGGTCATTCAACTATTTTTCATTTGCATCAAAATTATTTTTCATCTGCATTGTTCCATTGTGGAATCAGAAATAGAGATGAACACGAAAACAACGGGGAAGTTAAGCTTCGTTACTACAAAATATACATTTGGTAACACTAAATTACAACGGTCTTACAGTTAACGGTGGTAATATCTCTTTTTTGGAAGTGTTTTATTTTTTTATATTTACAAAAAGACTTTGCATTACAGCCAAACTATTAACCGTGATTGTACATTCATGAAGTGACAGAGTTCGATTCTCAGTTCCAACAATTTTCTACTTTTACGCTTCTTGTTCGAGATTTGATGGTTTTTTCTGTTGTTGTATGTTTCACATGATTGTTATATTATTTACTTTTATTTCACTTATTTTGTTGTTTGTTTGGATATGTCTTAGGTTTGGATGTGCTTTAGGTTTAGGTTTTGAAAAAGAGTTCCTTTTCTGTACGACCACTTTGACACCATCTAAATCTATCATACTCTCAGATATCACATATTTCTCTCAACATGAATAGTATGAGCAAACATTTCCATAAGATTGAGGCTTCAAAAGAGGTTATTGATATGCTAAAGTTATGGTTGAACAAAGCCAGAGAAGTTGAAATTGTTAGGGATCACATGAAGGTTGTTCAACTATTTAGTAGAACAGGCTATAAGAATATTCTTATCAAGAACCTTAACCCTATAAAGATAAGGAAGGTAGAGGCTATTGTGAAGGACCTAATGAATATGGACGCAACTGATTCTAAATCAAATTAAGACCTAGAGAACAACATGAATTCAATTAAGCATGAAGATTGAAGGCCTTGTTATGTTTCACATGTTAACATGTTGATTTAATTTTTGTTGGGTTACAATGTACGGCTAGTTGGCCTTTGTTGGATCACAAGTTAACATTGTATGTTGATAAATTTTTGTTGAATTACAATATATTGTTATGTTAACATGCTAGTTTATCTTAACATTTTATTGGATTAAAATTTACTTCTAGTTTATGTTAACATGCTGCTTTTTTCATGTTGTTTTCCACAAATATTTTTAATTAAAGGTGTGTATAATGATAAATATTGTTGTATGTTGTTGATGTTGTTGTTGATATTGTAGCTATCAAGTGGTTATGGTTCTTTAATTATCACTAAGTAGCTGATTGTGTAAACATGGATCTAAGAGCAAACTTGTATTCGTTGTGAAAATATTATATGAGTATTTCATATAATATTCCCATAGCGAACATATGTTTTCTACTTTCCCTTCTACTTTATCCACTTCATAGCTTTTAAGAATGATTAGTTATCAAGTTCTCCTAATCTATGTTAATTCATTGATGTTTTTGTTGATAAATATTGTTAGTGAATTTTTTATATCATATGTAATTGCTTGTTTCACTAACCCCTCATTGAATATGCATTCATTTAAATAGATTTTTTAGATAATAATTAGAAAAGTTAAATTATTCTTGTAAAATAACTTAGAAATTTTGATATTTATTGAATTGCATGCATCTTGTAATTCATTATTTCTTCTTTAGCCTATAGAATTTGATTCAATGTCATAACTTCTTCAAAACAAAGATGATAAATGGATGTCAGTATGAGTCTTTTCCACAAAATTTGATGTTTACATAAACTATAGAAGAAGAAAAAGGAAATCAAATTTGTGTAAAATACATAGAAGACACCCATTCATAATCTTTACTTTTAAAAATTTAGGATTGAATCAAATTATAAAGGTTAATGAGGAAATCATGAATTACAAGATGCATGCGATAAAACATTGGATCACTTAAGTTGTTTTTCAAGAATAATTTAATTTTTCTGATTATTATCTTGAAATTCTATTTGAATGGTTGTTTATGGTTAATGAGGGGTATTTCAAAACAAGAAATCTCATATTTTATAATAAACTCTTACACATACCACCATGGTTGGAACATATAACTGTGGTGAAATATTAAAACGCAATAATGGATTTGTGGGATTCAAATCCAGATGTAGGGGTAAAATTTGAGATTAAGTTATTGATTAACTTAACTCATAATATAAGAGTCGTCACCGCACTTTTTATTTTTCCAAAGGAATGGGAAAAATAACGAACAAAATCCACAGAAGTTTTAAAACAAAACTAATAAAAACAGAGACAAAGGTAAGCGGGTTGGTTATGCAATGGAAATGTGTTAGCACCCAAAACATCTATAGTACTCTATAGGAATCTCTTAAAAATCTATGTTTGGCTTAAAAAGGGTTGTTTGCAAAAGATTGATGAGATGAAAAAAGAAATATTTTTTAGGGTTTTTGTGTTTGACAAGACTTTTTGAGCCTCGTGCCTACATACCCACAAAGTACAATGGAGGATCAAAACCTTGTAGTTCGTGGTAAAAATAAAAAAAGATTTTGTTGTAATTGATTTTAAATGGAAAGACAAGTTGTCATTTTAAGGAGAAAACTCAACTAGTCACCCACAAGTTTATGAAAATGGACCTTTGCATCATTATTGAGAAAGACTCCAACTTGGATAGAGATCAACAAGTATGTCACTATCTCTCTCAAGTGAAAAAGAATCAACATTAAACATCACTATGGAGATAAGAGAATTACATCTCAACTATGAAAATGACTCATGTCTAAACCTTAAGAAAATGTTTAAAGGGAAAAGTGCACAAAGGGCACAAAATAGTTTGAATGGGTTATGTATTTTTTAAGTCTTTCGAAATGGTCTTGGTATGCTTAAGATGGATTAACATTTATTTAAGAAAAAGAGTTTAAAAATCGCCTAACAAAGTCAACGTTTATTGTGAAAGTGGTTCAAGTTTGAAAACAAGAAGGTTTTGAAAAAGAGAGAAGATTTTGAATATCAAAGAATGCGAGGAGATGAAGAGTTACCCTAATGCATAAAGTAAAAGCTAAAGAAGGAAATATCTAACCAAGAGCAAGCCTCTGACACAAGTCAAGCCAAAACTCCCATCAGTTAGATTAAGCAACAAGCAACCAAATAAGTAGAGAAATAACCAAGCATCAGATAAAGAAGAACTTAAGCCAAAGGCAAATATGAAGTAACAAAGCCAATCCTTTCAAAAGTCAATTCAAGGTCAAAGAACCAAATGAATTGCAAGGTCTCAAGACACAAATTCAAAGCATAGGATCAAGAACCTAATTCTAATTCTATAAGTCCAACATCCAAGCATGAGATAGTAACCAATAGTCCAAGGGAAATATTAAGTATTTTAGTAGTTTATCCTTTATCAATGTCTTAAGAAAAGAGAGAAAAAAAGTTCCAAGTGGACAAAGGAAAAAGGAATAAACATAAACAATGGCAATATGATATGTAAATGATAACAATAAAGCAATATATATAAGGAGCAAGAAAATAAATGACAAAAGTAAAGGTGCAAAAAAGTAAATGACAAAAGTCAAAGGTTTGCAATCTTGAGGTGGGGCATAGCAGGTCTACGTGGCTAGGGTCGTACGCTGTTTTAGGTGCGTGTTGTGAGAAATCTTGTTCTGAAATTTGTTTCATTTGCTGCAGGTTCATGTTGCTGTTAGCAGGTTGTGATGGTAAAGAGACTTTATACTGGTGGTTTTGGAAAGGTGATATCATGTGCGTCACAAAGTCACAGAAGCACCCCTTGAAAAGTTTACTGCATCTTACTTTCCCATTTTTTAATTTGGAGATGTGGCTACGTTGAGTCAAAAGTATTCATGGAAAAGGCTGGTTTTGTAGGTTACTCGTAGGGTACCCCATGGTCTGTTTTTGTGTGAGTATGACTAGGTGATGGGTATTTTGTGAGTCATGATACTGTTCTTTAGTTTGCAGGTATCGAAAGGTAATT